GTGTATGGTGAAGCCGTCCTGTTCCATGTCTCGCTGAACATCATCGCGCAGCTCGCCAGCTAGCTTGCACGAAAAGGCGCCCGCATTCAAATTATCACAGTACGCCATGTAGACGCGCTCGCCTGCCTGCATGCTCGGGACGGGGTGCCCGTCCACTAGAACGAACTTATCCGAGACCTCCCTATGTGCAACTTGCATGTGAAATTCTTGGACCAACCAGAACGACCAGGTAAAACCCATGGGCAGGACAGTCAAGCACATCGATACCTTCTCGTCCAATCCGACATCACTCAATAACTCCCCCGGTGCACCGGCTTCCAGAAGATCCCCGACGACGGCATCAACCTCGAACGCGAAGAAATCTGAAAGCTCATCGGAGACCCCGCACTCGTAGAAACAGTCCTTGATGCCACCCTCAGCCCAATACAGGGCCTGACCTACTGGGATCTCCAGGTCACTCAAAGAACTTAAACCACCTAGCTCTGTGTGCGGGGGAGGGGCGAACCTAAGATTACATTGGCGGCAGTCGAGAACCAAGCGTTGCACCCCCGACTTCTTTAGAACCGTGAACGCCCCGATTCGAGCAGCAGGGCGCCGAGTGAACCTCGCAAGTCCCCGAGAGGCCATCCTGGAGGCAAAAGCCTTGAACCCCCAGGGGCTCTTCAAAAGCGGGTCCGTGTAGGGGGGCACTCGGACGAGACCGCTGCCCCGACGAGCATCTTGTCTTCAAAATTCCGAAGGCATTCCTGAGGCAAACCTACCAAGACTGACTCCAATTCAACAGGCGAGCGCTCCGCGTCCAGAAACGAAAGTTTCTCCAAAACCATGGGGGCCCGGGGGCCCTGCCCCAGGTCCCCTGCGTAGTCATGCCGAAAAAACCCGAAGCTCCTGACGGGCCCCTGGGCGGGTGACACTCGGAGGCCTAGGGCCCAGCCCACGAGCGCGCCCCATCAGATGACCGAGAGCAGCGCGCTGGCACTGCGGCAACGTCATCAGGTCTGAGACGGCAGGAGGGGCGGGCGCATCACGGGCACCAAAGTACATCGAGTTGAGAGCGCCCACCGACTTGATGACTGCAGCGGCCACGGCCCACCGACGTGTCCGGCGTCGCGTCGTCGAACGGCGCGCCCGTCGCAGGTCGCCTCGTCGCCCTTCGGCGAGTCGAGGCAAAGGGGGTATATCGCGGTACCTGCTCGGGGCGTTCTCCCCCTCAGCAAAAGCGGCCTCGCTGCACGGCGCGGCCGCGACTCAGGACAGGCAGTCGCGGCGAGCGGGGCGGGTCGAAGCCCGCCCTCCACGCGCTGCACACAGGCTCTGGGGGGGCGCCGAGGTGCGGTCGAGCCAATCCGCGCCTCAGATCCTTCAGACTAGCCAGCCCCAGCGGCGTCGGCGCCAGCCCCTCCGCCCCGGCCGCCGCGTCCGCGGCCGTGCCCAGGTGCAAGCGAGCGCGCTTCCGCCGCCTTGCGCTTCTCCTTCGAGATGGCCGCCTCAGCCCGCAGCCGGTCCGACGCATGGGCCGTCAGCGCGGGTGACACCAGCTCTCCCCCAGCTCGCATCCCGTCGCCCATGAAATGACCTGCTCCCTCGTAGCTCGGAGCACTCGGGTTGGCGTGGTGGGCGTCGGCGATCAACTGGCGCCTGCGGGCCACGGCCCCCATACACGCGAGGTTCATCACGTTGGGCCCGTCGTGCGTCACCGCGAGCTCCTGCGCCGGCGCCAGGTTAGCATCCTCGTGGACTGAGCGATCTCCATCCGGTATCTTTGCCTCCGAGAGCCACTTCGAGTGCTGCGCCCGTGGCCCTTCAGCCAACTTGATCATCTCGCGGCACATCCACTCCGTAGTCCGAGGGCCGCTCGGTGGCCAGTCGTCGAACTCCGTCATGGTCATCTCCTGCACCGACTGCCTGAACTCACGCCTTCGGGCCCGTCGGGCCCGTACCTCACCGACAGCGTCCGCACACCGTCACCGACCGCCTGGTCCTGCCCATGCGTCGCCGTAGCTGCACGGCACCACTTGATCCGCTCCTCGCAGAACGTGTCGATCTCCGCCTGGTAGTTATTCAACTGCTTGACCAGAACGGGCCGCGGGATCTGCATGTTCGGCAGCACCATGGGTCCGTATCCGTTCGCCTGGGCCGCGCCTGCGGGCATCGTGACGATCTCGCCGATGCTATGGCCGTCCACGTGCTCCGCGAGCACCCACGCGACGGCAGGGGCCGCTGGCCCAGCGCCGCCCGCAGCGGCGCCTGCCCCGCGCCCGGCTGGGCCGCCCGCGACAACCGCGAATCCCCCTCCGCCGCGGAGGGCGACGACGCCGACCGCCTCGGCCAGCAGCTGGTCCACCTCCGCGTCGGTCAGCGGCTGCTGGAAGCGGTACAGGCGCGCTCCACCCAGCCCGAGCGGCAGCTCCCCGTTGTCACCGAGGAACCTCACCATCTCGAACACGTTCTGATCACTCATGTCCTCGCCGTACACATCGAAGTCTGGGGTCGCAATCGTGACGAGCCCTCCTACCATATCATTCAGGAAGACCCGCTCGTGTGACAGGTCCTCGCCCGCGCCCGCGTATTTCACCAAAGCCCGTCGAAGCGTCGCTCCCCCTGGTCCCGTCGGCAAGGGCCACCCGTCCGCTCCCCGGACTCGAGGACCTGGAGGAGCTGGTGGCCCGACTGGAAGCCCAACTAGCGTCATACCGAACGCACGTGACGGTCACCTGCACGACAGAGAAAAACAGGCAGACCACTGCACACGCAATGAGCTGCCAAGCCTGGTGACCCCCGCCGCTGGGAGCCGACACCGCCTCACACTGACAGTGGCAGTGGCAGATCGGTTCCGGGATGTCTGGGCACCTGACCTCCGCCCTTCCCGCCGCCCGTGCGGCCTCCGCGGCGTCCGAGAAGACGCCCCGCAGCACCCAGGCCGAGAAGGCGGTGACCACGCTGCTGGTCGCGACCTGCACCGACGCGGTCGAGGCAAGGAAACCCCAAATCATCAACCGCGGGGACGGTCCGTGCGCTCCTGTTGCGCAGCAAAAAACCTTGAGGGTTGACAACGGCCGCGGGGAGGCACGATCAATGCTGTGCACCGCATTCTCATCATCATGAGCAGCATCAGCATCATAAGCAGACGCAGCATCAATAACATCAGGATCATCACCATCATCAGCAGCATCCGCATCATCATCAGAATCATCATCATCCTCATCAGCATCATCATCCTCACCACCATCATCATCACCATCACCCTCACCATCGTCATTACCACCACCATTTCCATCACCATCCCCATCATCATCGCCTCCTCCTCCGCCTCCTCATCATCAGCATCAGGATCAGCATCAGCGTCAACATCAACATTAGCATCAGCACCATCATCACCGTCAACACAGTCAACATCATCCTCGTCGTCGTCGTCATCGTCGTCATCAGCATCACCCTCACTGTCATCATCATCACCACCATCATCACCAGCATCAGCACCAGCATCAGCAGCATCATCATCATCATCAGCATCAGCATCATCGCCAACATCATCATCATCATCATCATCATCATCATCATCATCATCATCATCATCATCATCATCATCATCATCATCATCATCATCATCATCTTCGTGCTGCTTCTCTTCTCCCTTCTTGTCTCCTCTCCATCTCGAACGCGTCCTCCATCCACCTACATCCTCCCTCCTCAGCCGTTCCTCAAGAGGTCAAGGTTAAGTCTGCATGCCCGCGACGGGGCCGACGCTCAAGGCACAAGCGGGGGAACACAAATCCGGGCGAAAAAACCAACAGAATGCAATTGCGAGTACCGCATCGTTGATACCACTTGGGCGGAGCTCACAATGATGCCACGAAACGTGTGAGCGGCGTGCAAATATGGGGCGGAACCGCCTGCGAACCCGCCAACCGGGGCCTTCGGTGGAGCTCCCTTTGGGGTCACGAAACTTGTGAAGTGTGTGCCGAAATGGGTGCGGGACCGCCATGCGGACAGTGCCGCTGGGGCCTTCGGTGAAGCTTCCTATGGAGCCATGAAGCGTGCAAGGAGTGTGAAGAGTCGGGCGCGGGGCCGTCACGCGAACGCAGCCACTGGGGCCGTCGTTGGAGCTCCCTGTGGGGCCACGAATCGTGTGAGGGGTGTGCCGAGATAGGTGCAGGGCCACCATGCGAACGCAGCCTCTGGGGCCTTCGGTGGAGCTCTCTATGGGGCCACGACGCGTGTGAGAGCTGTGCCAACATGGAGATGCGGAAGGCAGAGGCAGGCATGGGCCTGGGGGAACAGCAGGAGCAGGAGGAGGGAGGAGTGAGGAGGGGGAGGACGGAGGAGGAGGGGAGGAGAGGAGAGGAGAGGAGAGGAGAGGAGAGGAGAGGAGAGGAGAGGAGAGGACGCGGGGCGCCGTCTCTTCAAAACGAAGACGCAACACCACGCGATGGTTGGGAAAGACAGGCAACCATTCACCGACGGAAATCTCACAACATTGATTTCAAAGATTGTGCGCATTCGGCCGTCACCCTCCAGTCACCCATCCAAAACTCGTTGCATTACGATGGGGCGATCATCTATCGGCAGACACGCCGGCGGCGTGCCCGACGAAGTTCCAGGATGGGCGCGACACTGCATCCGATCGGCGCAACCAGGCTTCCACCTGGTGGGGGCAATGGGGCCAATCCGCCACATGAGACTGTACGCGCTCGGCACAGGAGCGTTCCTCCTCGCAAAGAAGGGCCAACACGCCAAACAACGCCGAACCACACCGGTACGGCGGCTTCACGCAGAAGTGACGACGGCGTTGGTTCCTTGTTCCGAGTGGAGCGGTCAATCTTGAGCAGGTCGCAGCTCTCCGATAATCGATCGATGCATTTGTCGGCTGAATCCAAGCCAGTGGCGGCATTCAATTTTGAACGCTCGAGCTAGGGCCGCCGCCGCGTCGACGCGGTGCGAAACTGCCGCAGAAAGAAATACGTGGCGAACAGACAGCTTTGACAGCAGCCCCAGGACACCAGATCCAGCGTATCCTGGGCGGCTTCTGGTTGGGAGGCCTCGACCGCTGCGAAGCCTCCATCATGTCCTCGGAGGGCGCGAGACAGAGACAGAGAGATAGAGGCACTCATACAGGCAGGGAAAATCCTAGTACTCCTCCTCCTCCTTCCCTTTCCCTAATAACCAAATCCTCCCTCTCGCTCCCCTAGAGGTGTCGGGCCATTTCACCTGAGAAGCTCTCACCAAACCTCTGAGCGCAGGTGTTATGACAAGCCCTTCTCGTCCCTCTTCCAAGACCCAAGACCTCCCCTCCTCGGCCGGGGTTCCCCACCTCAATCAGTGTCTAGGCCCCCCCCCCACCTTTCCGCGAAGAGTTCGTTAGAGCGTCCAAGGTGACCCCAAATGGCTCCAAGAGCGCCTTTCGTGGTCCAAGATGGCCCCCAAGATGGCCCCCAACGTAGCCGACGATCACTCAAGATAGCCTTCGCTTACCTCTAAGATGCCCCAAGATGGCCCCAAGATGGATCCAAATGCCCCCAGATCCCCCCAAGGACCCACCAAGAGGTCAACATTGTAATTATGCTAATTCGAGTGAGGGGCCGAACGGCCATTCACTGTCCATGGGCGCGTGGCTGAAATGAGGTGTTGCGATGCGGGTTGTTGTTGTTGGTTTTGGTATTGCTGTTGTTGTTGTTGTTGTTGTGGTTGATGTTGTTGTTAGTGTTGGTGTTGGTGTTGATGTTGTTGTTGTTGTTGATGCTGATGTTGTTGATGTTGTTACCCCCTTTTGCTGGCGCTGGTATACACGGAATACTACATGCCGATTGCCCCGTGTAGGTGACTACTATTCCGTGCATCGGGTACACGGAATAATAAGAGTCTATCACTCCGAATCTAAATCATACAAAACGCATGCTATTCCGTTTATCAAATACACAGAACAATAGCGGCTTCGTACTCCGTATATACGGAATAAAAAAAGAACTATTATTCCGTTGCCCAAATACACGGAATAATTCAGTCTTACTACTCCGCTTATACGAAACAGGCATGTACTATTCCGTGTATCGGATACACGGAATAATAAAGGCATCGTACTCAGAAATAATAATAATAATAATAAGAACTATTACGTGTATCGGATGTAATGAGCACGAACTGCCCATTACTCCGTGTATACGGAATAATGAACGCCAGCTGTTCCGTTTCTCGGGTACACGGAACAAAAGGGGCACAATTTGCCGCGCATGCGGAAACAACACGCGCCTGATATTCCGTGTATCGGACACACACGCACACGGACAATTGCGGCCTATTGCTCCGCGTATACGGGAAGAAATGCGCCTTCTACTCCGTGTATCGGATACAATATATATGGAAATGTATATATTTATATATACACACAACAGACTATTACTCCGTGTGTGCGGAATAATGAGCGGCTTCTGTTCCGCGGGCCGGGCACGCGGAACAAAAGGAAATCCCACCAGCCCTCTGGGCGTCGGTGGTCTAGAGAGTTTCCTATTCCAACCCTCTTTTTCCCCTTCGGGGAGGGGTTATCACTGTTCCCTATTAATAAACACCCCCTCCCCCAGGCGACTGGGGGCCAACCCGAGTCCATGCCGACACCCCCCACCATCCCTTGTAACAAACAATACAAAACACACTCTGCCTCCAAATTCGGAACAGGCGCAGCCAACCCGATGCGGCCCCCCCACACCATCCCTGTGCAAAAAACAATACAGAGTACACTTGGCGGCGGCGGCGGCGGCGGCGGCGGCGGCGGCGGCGGCTGCGGCGGGCGGCGGCGGCGGCGGCGGCGGCGCGGCTGCGGCGGCGGCGGCGGCGCGGCGGTGGCGGCGGCTGCAGCGGCGGTTTGGCAGCGGGGGCGGCGCGGCGGCGGCGGTGGCGGCGGTGGCGGCGGCGGCGGCAGGCGGCGGCGGCGGCGGCGGCGGCGGCGGCGGCGGAGGCAGCGGCGGCGGCGGCGGATTGGCCCCCAGTAGCTCCCCATCCCAAGACGACTGCTGAATATGCTGGGGCTCGGGCCAGACTCGGGTGCTACGTATGTGTTGGGAGAGCGGATAAAAGTGAACAAAACGGCTTGCGGGCGGGGAGCGGGTAACTTGACCCCTCCCCCTACCCCCTCCCCTGGACCTGGACGGGGGGGCCCGCGGGTCGTTGGGGCGTCCAAAATGGCGCAAGACGGCTCCAAGAGCGAAAACGCGAGAAAGCAAAAAAACATTGATGTCTCTTGGGTGGAATGATTTTTGCATCTTTTGGGGCCCAAGAGGCGATTCGAGGCACTCTAAAGGGGCAACGCTAATTGGCCACCCCCCTTCTTTGATAGATCTCCTCCAACATGGCCCCAATAACGCCCCGAAGGCTCCCAAAAACGCCCCAATAGCGCACCAAGAGGGCCCCGAGAGGCCCCAAGAGGCAACCCAGAGGCCTCCAAGAGGCTCCCAAAAGACCCCAAACAGGCCCCAAGAGGCTCCCCGAGATACGCAAGAGGCCCACGGGACCGCCAAGAGGCCCCAAAGACGGCCCAAGAGGCCCCCAAGCTCGTCATTGTCCTCTTCCTCCTCCTCCTCCTCCTCCTCCTTCCCCTCTTTTTCTTCCGCCTCCCTCCTCCCCCTCCCTTTCCTCCTCCTCCTCCTCCTCCTCCTCCTCCTCCTCCTCCTCCTCTTTCTCCTTCTCCTTCTCGCCCTCCACGTCCTCGCCCTCCTCCATCTCCTCCTCCTCATCTTCCTCCTCCTCCTCCTCCCCCTCCTCCTCCTGCTCCTCCTCCTGCTCCTCCTCTTCCTCCTCCTACTCCGACGACGACGAATCCTCCTACATCCTCCCCCTCTTGGGGCATATGGCGGCTTACCCTGCCCTTTGTTTTTCTTCATGCTCCCCCGCTTCCCTCATCACCTCCACTCCCCTGGGACTCATTTCTGGACGGGCTGATGGGGGTACTTTTTGATTGGCGGCTCCAAGGACATATCCAGGAAGCGGGACGGTCTCGACTGGGTTACAGGGCGAGATCATTAGCGGCGACTGTGCATAGGCCGACGCAGCAAATGCACGTGCCAGGGACAAAATGCCCCCCATTAAGATGCAGGCGACCCGGAAGCGGGGACGCAGGCATCATAAGGAAACGGACGGAGGAGAAGTCGCACAGTGGCGCCAGCTCAGTCCGTACCGACCAGCGCGCAAGGGCGTGGGTCACGCCGCGCTGTGGCAGCACGGAGGGGCCAGTGGGGCCGCGCCGTCCATCGCGACGAGGAGGCGAAGGAGCGGGGAACGGCGGCGGGCGCGAGGGCACGCGAGGACAGAAGAGGGAGGGGACCGAGGAACGCCTCACTCACAAAGACTCCTGGAAATACTCGGGCATGAGCGACCGACCTATGCGAGGAAGCGTCGGCCCTGTCTTCCGAGTCCACAACCTGCAACTGCCTGACTCTGGAAGCCAGGGGGGTACAACTGCAATCACTGGTCGAGCACCACGGGCCACCCTGCGGGAGGGCCGAGAAGCACTGCCAAAGGATATACCACTTGCGCAGTAGCCAGAGCTCGAAGGCGGCGCCCGCCGTGGGAAGCGAGACAACCGGGCTGTCGGCGCACAACGCGGGAAGCTCATCCGTCACGGGGGGCGGGGGCACAAAGATGCGAGCGTCAACCGTGGTAGCAGGGGCGGACCTGATGGGGGAACAACGGCGCCCTGTCAAAGGATGAACCACTTGTCAGGACAGCGCTCACCTCAGGTCCGGCCCCAGGCGGTGCCAGAGCGGGGCGGCGCGCCGGGCTGCGCCATGCCGTAGCCCAGCACCTGTAGCGCTGCGAACCGCTCCCAGTCCACGCGGGCGAATCGCGCCCGCTCCAGGGGCTGGAGGAGTCCGTGCCTGCGGGGACAGACTGCCGCAGACCTTGGCTGCCCAGATCATCGCATGGCATCCGCGCTGTCCGAACGCACCTCGGGGCCCTGCCAGTGAGCCCCCAGGTGTCCATGGATGCCCGAGTGCTCCGGTGGAGCGGGTCGGCGGGGGGGAATTCGCTCGGCACTGTGCGCCGTATCAGCGCAAGAGGAGGAGGAGGAGGGGGGGCGCAGCCGATAGCCGCACAATCCAGTGAATAGACGGAGGAGGAGGGAGAGGCAACGCCAATGTCGAAGCTGCGCGGGCAGAGTGGCCTCTGCGATCCCTCCGCCGCTCCCAGCGGAGGGCCCTCAGCGACCGCGGGGGGAACAACGCGCCAGACCTCGGCGGGGGTCTGCGCTGTCACTTGCCCGGAGCAGCACAGCCTGGAGGATGCACGTGAGGTGTTGCCACGTGAAGTGGCACGTCGGACGTGACCAAGGCCACCGAACTGGGATGGTCCGTCACATTGCAGCGCACCCAGGCGGGGCGCACTTGGACGGGGGCGCAGCAAGAGCCGCAAAAAATGATGAGTGGTAAAGAATGGTGGAGCGCGTGGGGTGCGCCTCTGGCCAACATTCCCAGTCGCCCAAAGTAGGGGCCCCGGAGGGGCGGACATAGACGGACCCTCGCCCCGTGGGAATCGGGTCAAAGGGGGGAGCACGGGGGGGTGGATTATTTCAGCCACCGCCCCACTGTCCAGGATGGGACCACGAGACCAGCGTGGGCTGTCTAGTACGCAGCGCATGGGTATTGGTGCACCTCTGCCCCATAAGAGGTAGCACGGGGGTATTAAGGCCAAGGCCTGGCGCTGCGGTGAAACCTGCCCCCATCAAGGTCAGGAGCAACCACGAGGGAAGCTGGGCCGTGGGGGACTGACACCTCACGCTGCCCTCAGCCCCCAATCCCTGCGTCGCTGTGCGAGGCAAAGGGCCGGTTGAGGACCACGGGGCTGCCAACCCAGCGGGCTCCGCCCGGAGCTGCGGGGTCCCAGATGGCCCGCAGGGTCAGCGCGACGGAGACCACCTTGTATAGGGAGGGGAGGGGTTGTTCCCAGCTGCCCAATATCGATATTGCCCAGGAAGCACGCGTTGCGCTCCATGACGGGCCGAGCAGCAACTCTGAGAATCTACATTTTCTGGTGGAAGAAAAAGTTTGAGCCGCAGACACGCTGCGCGGGCCACCCTCCGCG